AAAAATGCACTAAACAAAATGAAAAAAAAAAAAGGAAAATATTTGCAAAGTGGAAGATTTGAGGAAAATAAAAGGCAACAGGCTGAACAAAGACCCAAGTCTGTGCAGAAGACAGGCACTCTCTGAATAACAAACAGTGTCATTTAGTTACTATGGTAACTCAAGAAACACAATGAAAACAGCCACATTCCTAATGATGAATGGTCCTCAGCTCTGAAACACTGAAATAAAGATGCTGGAGATGCCTGCGGGGTCCAGCACAACTTCCCCAATCACCTTACCCGGTACTCCATGTCGTAGCTCGGCAAGATGATGCGGCCTTCCCTCCACTCCTCCCCTTGGTCCTCCGTGATGACCCACAGCGCCTTGTGCTCCTGGTTGGCTTCCCGCCAGACCCGCAGCATCACCCCATTGCTGCCCCACGCCTGGTACTGGAAGACCATGCAGACAGCACTCCGGGGAAGATAGATGGTGGGGCTGATGAGCCGGGCTCGCTGGCCTTCCCTCCTTCCGCTGCTCTGCAGCTGCAGGTAATTCTTGTCGTCTGTTCAAGGAGGGAAAGACCATTGTTTTGTTTTCTGTGGCCACTTGCAACAAGCGTCTCACCTCCTGCTAGGGGGCTTTGGCAGTGCTCGGCAGGTTCTCACACCCATGTCTGCAGGAGTGGGGTCTTGCACTGGTACCCTCCCTGTTTGCAGCTGAGCCCTGCTGCTGCTGTGCCCTGTGCAGGGCACTGAGGATCACATTTCCCTCATCAGCCACCACCATCTGACAGGCTGACAGCAAAACCAGAAAGCAGTAAGCCAAAGCTTGACATAATCACGAGAAGTTGAAGAGCACTTATTGCCAGAAGAAGCGATGCCACGGTAATGACATTGGTGGGAGTGTTTACTCTGCTGGGAGCTTGTTCAGTCAACAAGCCTGAGGTGAGTTTTTCTAACCGCTGGTGCTGAAAACTCAACCTGGGATGGGTATCTCAAGTTGTGTCCATCCTGCCTCTTTTTATCAGTGGTAAAACCCCACAATCAGGATTTAGCGATCTAGCGTTTTGAGGATATGCATTACAGAATGGAAGCCTGGCTCTCAGTCTTTCTGTAATGCAGAAAAACAACCCCTAAAGCACAGCACAGAGGAAGGATGTGGTCCCAGTGAGTGAAGCATGCACAGGTGATAACTGGGTGGTTGAAACTTGAAGGTACCTGAAACACATACAGAAGAGGATTCACTCACTTTAATATTACATTTAAATTGTGCTTTGTTTTTAGTCAATCCTCAGGGAGGAGATTTAGTATGTTTGATAACGCAGGAGAAGTTCAAGGCTGAGACTGGAATTGGAGATACTTGGTCTGAATACCAATAGCAGCAAAAAGCCCATGGACACAAATCCCTGGGCACAGCTGATTTGATCTGGAATGAGTGGTTTCCAGCCCTCTCTGATGAAAAGCCTCCTCAAGGAGTTTCCCATTTGCAGCTTGGATGCCTGTAGTCCCTTAGCACAGACTGAAAACCAAGTGTGGAGCTGATCTGATCCTTACCTGCCCCCCCTCATAATGACCACTGGCAGGACAGAGTCCCTTGGGTTGCTCTGTCAGCAGTGCAAGGTGACACAAGCAGGTCAGGGACAGATATTGCCGCATTTTGCATTTCACTCAACAGAAGGATGAACATGCTTGTTCTTGCTATGCAGTGGGCAAGTGTCACTGGTGCTTCATGCCAGCATGTGCCAGCCCTCCTGCAGCCCAGGGGGGCTACCTCTGCCCCAGGACCACACCTAAGGGTCTGTCACTTCCTTTCTCCACATCTTGGCTTTCTGTGCTTGACAGGCAAAGCTCTGAGCAGCAGCTTGCCTCCTGCTTGCCCTGCTCCCTCTGTGGCTTCAGTGCCCACAGCAACGGCAGAAAATCAGCATCTGCACTAAGAACATTTGCAAAGCGCACCCAAAACACCTCCAAAATCTGAACTTAGAGCCCAGTTTCCAAGCATCGAAGGTCAGGTCTCACCCAGGGAAACAGCAGCTGACCTTACTGCCGCTCAGCAGTTCGGCGACATCCCAGCCCCAGGCAGATGTATCAGTGGTTGCACAGCCACCGGCCCTGCCACAAGTTTGTCACTGCCAGAGAGCTGGGCTGAAACCAACCACCGTGAACTACACAGCTTTCTAGAATAAATTTAGGGCAAGGCGGCAGAAAGATTCGCCATCACTCCTGGGATGTATGATCACAATATTTCAAAAGCGTATCCACTCCATATGAACTTTCACTGATTTCGCTGCGTGAAGGACAAATCTGTCCCTGACTGGCCACATAAAGAGAGAGCAACACTTTCCAGCAATATTTCCTACCACCTATGAAATGTACTTGGGCCACTTGGCACTTTATGCCAACAAACAGTAGCAGAAAAAAAGATGAAAGCTTGTTTGCCCACTCCTGCTTGAGTGAATCACTTGAAAAAATACCATGCCGTTCCCTAATGGAGGAGTGTTCTTGTGATTTACCTCAGAGTGGTAGTGGTGGAGGAGGAGATGTGGGAGATAAACAAGTAGAGGAAGGAAAAAAAAGAACAAGCTGTATTTCATGCCTAAGGAGCGATAAGGCATAATAAGTCATCAAGGTCTCCTGAATTAAAATCCTCTTTTTGTAATTCACTACAAGCCTCTTCAAAGAAAAAAAAAGCAACAGCAACAAGAAAAAAGCAGCATCAAGAAACAGGAGGAAGAAAAAAGCAGACTGCAATCATACAATTATCTCACAGCTGAAATGGTCTCACAAGAAAATCTTTAATAAAAGCACCAGTCAGGCTCAAGAAAGATCAAATCCGGATCCTCAAAGTTCAAGACTGACCTTTGGTGGCAGTATCTAGGCAATCTGATTGAGTTGAGGGATGTGAGCCATCCTTGGATCCACTCAAAGACCACAGGGGACTATGTTAATTGTGCAGCTGGACACTCTCACGATCCTCACCCTCCACTGGGAGCTGGTGGTACCCAACATCACTACTTCAGCAAAAGAGCCTGCGTGCCTCCAAGTCACATCCGTCCCACCAGGGATGACACCGAGAAACTCCTAAAGTGCTCCTGAAACCAATGCCCCCTCAACCACATAGGCTCTTTCAGAGCCATGGGAGCCCTCCCAAGCCCTGCATCTCCTGTGCTCCCTCCTCAGCACTTGCGGGGGCCCACACAGCTCTTGAGGACCTAGTGACAATCCCAAGGGCTGTGGGAAGGCTCCATCCCTGGGTGATGAACCTAGTGGCTCCCCTGCAAGGAGCAGTGGGTTTGGGCACCACACGCTTCTGTTCCTGGTACCAGCTTCAGAAGCGGGGAGCTGAGCACAAGCAGACACAACTTTCTGTGTCATTTGAAGATGAACTGGCTGCATTACTCAAATGGCTAGTTGGACCTTCTCAAAATCCCTGCAAATTTGCTGAGACTGACTGAACAAGGGCATTTTGGGGTTAATTGTTGGAATAGCATGTGGGAGCCCAGTGGTTGTAGTAGCTGCTCTGTTTGATAAGTAAATGGAAGTCTTTGGCACAGAAAGCACCTGAAAGGCTGATTTCCCCTGCTAAAACACTTGAAGGGAGCCTTGCAATGATGAGCTGATCAATTCTTCCAGGATCAGAAATGCATTTTAATCTCTTTCCCAGAACTTTGCTTTGCAGCCTCTCTTCTGGCTAACACTGCAGCTACATCCCCTGCCGAACAGGCACTGGTAGTTCAAAGCACTAGCTCAAAAAAGGCAGGACAAACTCGCTCAGGCATTTTAACCTACTGCTGTTTTTGCAACTGATGCTACGGCATAAATCTCATGGAAGATTTATGGGATCATCTGGATGTAGGGGAGCCAGAGGAGCATGAACACGCAACCATCTCCAGCCAGACGATGGCAGAGTGGCTTGTATGTGCACGGCAGTGCGTCCCAGATAAATCACCAGCCAGGCCCTGCAAACAAACCATCTGGCCAACGCGGTTTCCTCTTGGCGTGCCTGTCCCCTCCTGCCAGCAAGCCATCTGAGAGGACATTAGGGGCAGCAGGGGATGAAGCCTCGCAGTTTGGGTCAGGCTGCAAGCACGAGCCACCGCAGCTGCCCCCTCTGCAAGGTCAGCCTGCCTGTGCTTCGGTCCTGCATATCTCACTCCCTCTCCCAAGAAAAGCACCTTTCCTCATTGGTCTCAGCAGCACATCTGGAGGTTTTCCAGCAAAACATGTTGGGCAGGATGTACACAAGTAATTACTGAGACTTCAGATTCCCCCACACTTTCCCCTCACTGGATAATACCGAGTCACAGCTGCTGCTCCTATGGGGGACTCACACTGAACTGCCTATACTTATGTCCCTCCAAGGGTCACTGCACTCTTCTTCATCGCAGAGCTTGTTCCACAGTGTGTTTTAGTGGCAGCACAATGGCCCACCGACAGCCACCTCATCTGTCAAACCCTACAGATGACACCTCTGCTCCAGGCCCCAAATGCCACCTCAACCATGCTGTGTCAGGGCCAAGGGGATGGACGTCCCAGTGAGGCCTGATCCTGCCGTTCTTCTGGGGCCTGTGAGCTGGGGGTTGCATCAGCCCTCGCCTTTTCTAGAGAGAGGATCAGCTCAGATCCCCTCACGACTGCAGGGTGCTCTGGTAGCAGGAGGATGGCAGCTGCATAAATATGCAAATTGAAATTGGATAGTTATTATATTTTAAATTTTTCTGGCAAATCATGCAAATTCACCTCAAAAGGCTGCCGCCGTAATTCAAGTGACAGGCCTCTCCTCAATGACAGACTTTCATTTACAAAGGGAAATCAATCCTCCGTAAAACTAATATTTATATTAACTAGATCACTGCGTCTGCTGGAAAATCCCCTCAATTTTGATTATGTGTTAATTAGCCTGCCAAGTCCTTGCCATTTCAGTCTCTAAATCAGTCTGTGGACAGGCATAAAACCCCACACCTGCTCAGAACCAAGCCCTCCGCCTGGTCTAATGGACAGGCCATTACACCCTCTCTCTTGATTAAGCCTCACGTCCTCGACAGTGCGGCGCAATCCTGAGCCCTACTGCCTTCCCCGGGAGCGCAGGTAGGGCACAGTGTCCCTGATAAACCAAACGCCTATTAGAGCCTGACATTTATGCTAAGCGAGCTGCTTGCCACTGCGCTGCCGTGCCCACCGCCAGCCTGGCAGGCACCCTGCATATCCCTACTCGAAAGGGTGTGCACGGTCCCACCCACGCCCAGCGTTTGTGCACGCACAATTAAAGGCATTAACCGAGCACAGGCTGCACATTGCAGCTTGCTCACATGTGCGCACGCTTTCCCAAATCAGGCTCTGTGACTCACAGGCTGCTAAGTCACTGCTGCGGAGAGATGGATTGATGCACACGCTAAGATCTGCGAGACAGCGTCTTGCTTTCCAGAGAGCATTCCAGCTTGGTTTTGTAAGCAGTGTGTGTCACTGGTGTTTGGGCCCAAAAAGGGACTAAGGACTCATGCAGGCGAGCAGTGAAGAAACAAGTGAGGTCCCAGATGAATGGTTTCTTCTCTGCGTCCAGCCCAGTCCAAGCGAGAGGGAGCTTGGCTGGTGATGCAGGGATGGACCACGGCCATGCCCCTTCTTTCATGAAAGACAGCACGAGCACAGCCTCGCACAGCCCAGCTGATGTTCAGCAAACCTCCCACGATCTGAGTGCTGGAGCGTCCCAGCTCCACTACGCTGCAGGTGGCCGAAGCACTCGTGATTTTCAGGGTTTGCTCTCCTCACTGTGGAAATGAGGGCCAGAAGAGCCACACAGAGTTTTGCTGAGAGGCAATCTGCACCATGCATGGGGAAAGTGGGGAGAGACAGAGCTGGCTATATGGTCTCCTTCCCACAGTGTGCAGCTGCTCACTCACTGCACAGAAGTGCTTGACTTTCACACCACCCCACATGCAAAACTGCCTTCTACTTCAAAGGGGAGAGGACTGACCCTAGAAGTCAAAATGTGTCCCCAAGGCACAAGCCCTGAGAGTCTCATGAGAATAAGTGCAGACTCACTTCAGTTCAGTCCTGCTCCATTAACACTGTAGAACCCCCACTTCAGTTCAGTTCTGCTCCATTAACACCATGAAAACCTTTCTGCTGCTTTGGGCAGAGTAGGATGAAGGCCTTCAGGCAGTAGTTCTCATGGATCTTAGGAAAAATACTAAACTCTTCCTTTTAAAGATCCCATGGGAAAAACACTGGAATGGTAAAGGGTCACCATCAGCTTAAAAACAGCTCAACATTTGTTTTCCTTAAAAAATAAGCTCTTATGAAACTTCAGAGCACTACAAACATTCCTCTGCTGGAAATGCTTTGATGCAAATAAACCTTTCCCTGCAGCGACTGAAACCCAAATGAGCAGCATTCCTGACCCTCAAAGCCAGTGAGGCTGTGGTCCACAACAGAAGCTCTTGGTGGGTTTTTGCAGCCCAGCCCAAGAGCTATGTGGCCTGGAGAACCTCATGGATAAAATCGCTTCCTTTTCTGCATGGGCATACAGTTGCCAACATTCGAATAACACGGCATTCACAATGCTGCCAGAGCTCAGACCCCAAATGAGAAGCAGCACGTGACAGAGGTGCAGACCCCGCACCGCTCGTCCAGGACAACAGGGTATTTACTTAATGACTGCGAGAAAAGGGGAGGTGAAAAAAAAATGGGCAAACCACACTGATTCCAGCTTTTCAGTGCTGGCTTATTAGCACAGCATTGCTGAGAGCAGTACAACCAGCCAAGGATATGCCCCAGAATCTTTACACCCTTCAGGATCAAGACCCCAGTGAAATTAAAAAATGGTGGAGAGTTGAGGTGCCCAATTTACTAACCCAGATTTATTTTCAGGTTTTAAGACCTCTATCTTGACACCAATGGCACATTGCCATCGCGTGCGGCAGGAGGGCGGATGAAACCTTATTGAAATTTGAACTTGTTACCCCTTGAAGCTTGCTAGGTGCAGCTAAGGGGAATCTTCCTACAGATGGGAAGCATTTGAAAACTCAGAGAGGGAAAAATCCTGGCAATCTCTTGGGGGGAGTCATGGAAAAAGGAGCAACAGTATTTTCTAGACTTGCAAAGGGCAGGGTAACAGCTGGAACCATGCTGGGTTTCTGCTGAGTTGGGCACTTTGGGTCCACTTTCACCAACAGGGTCTCCAGACGTGTAACAGGAGCCTGCAGGAGAGGACGTGGAGCTAATCCACGGTGTGAAGAGCCCAAGGAACACAGGACTAAAAAAAGAAATGCAGAGCTGCCTGAAAGAGTATCTTGGAAATAAAAATAGTGGAACAGGAGCAGTGGGTGTCTTGTCAGTCTCAAGAACTTCTCCGCGCCAAAGATGAGGAGGAATTGCACACAGCGTATAAAATGAAATCAGGAGATATCTGAGGAATTCAGGCCTGTCTCTCAGCAGACTTTTCTAATCAAGTGCCTCACAGAGGATATTTCACTATGGTCATTTCCTTCCCCTCTCTCTCACGCAGATTGAGCCAGGGCTCCTCCTTTCATTATTATTTCTTTCCCTTTTAATTTTGAATTTTGTTTTGCCATTTTCAGAAGAAATAGAAACAGATCTCAAATCGCTCTTAAAGGCACAGCACATTTCCTTGCTACCATGGAGCAGCCACAGACTCTACCCTGGGCCAGCACCTTTAAATCAGAGTGAATTGGGCTCCAGCAGCTTTGAGCTCCCCTTAGCTTTTGCCCTGCCCCTAAACCAAGCACAGCTGCTCTCCTTCACCCAACTGCTCACCCCAGGGTGGGGAATTCACAAGAAAAGACCACCCCGAACAAGGGCTTTTCATTCCTTGCTCCCTGGAGTCTAAGGATGAATTTGCAAAGTAGAAACAAAGTGCTGGAGGGAGTGCGAGGGAAAGGCAGGGGAAGAATAGGGGAGTGTGAACCAAACAATGCTTCGATTCTGTCCCTGCCGAGGGGCTGGCATCGCCTCTTTTTCATGTCTCTCGAGTTGCTTTTAAAAGCTGTGGTGGAGGAAAAAAGCAAATAGTTGCATCCTATTGTGTCATGTCTTCTTAATTTCAAAGAGTAGGACCAAAGCAGAGTGCAGCACCAATGCCTTTGCACGTTGGCCCCTCCACAGCCTCGAGCTGGGCAAGGCAGCGGCACAGCTGCCAGGAGGGCACATCCTTGCCTGGCCCAGCCAGGAGGCTGATCCCATGACAGAGCCAAAAACCGTCCCACAGCCTGGGCCTGGTGTCTGCTGCTGGCTTCCTCCACTGTGGTGGGCAATTCACTTCATCCCCCTGGAGCTGCTACTTCCTCCTCTTCCTCAGCCTTACAGTCTGTGACTTGCCGGGTGTTCGGTGCCTGGCTTAGCACAGCACTGTAAGAGAGAGCTCTTCTCACCTGCACAAAACCAGACAGCTGAACTCAGAAGGAAAATGTTACACTGACTGCAGTAGTGAAGTTTTGTGATTGATAACTAACTGAAAAAGAGAAGAAAGGGTAAAAACCAGAACTACACGCTGAGTTGTCTGAGGCAGCACCAGCCTCTCCTAGATTGTGCAAGCATGCAAACACGCGTGCGCACGTACAACAGAGTCTTCTAAGAAACTATGGCCAACTAATTGTAGGGAGACTCAGGGGAGAGGAAATGAAATGAAAAATTGAGTCTAAGTTATAAAAATAAGTAATTTTTATCCTACTTGCAGGAGGCTTATATTAATTAAACATTACTACAGCGAATGAGATGGGGAGGGTTATTAAGTCTGGGGCTGGCTATAAGTGTTCTCTCCTGTTGCCTGAGGCTCCACTGAGCTCCAGATATTAATCTTCTAAAGCACTCAAATACTGAAGAGATAAACACTTGAAATATGAAAATGTTTTTCTCCACAGCAGACACTGTGACCCTTTGTCATGCCAAAGAATTTGTCAGATGTCCATATAGGCTGCCCTAACACTATTACCGTGTCTTTTAGAAAAATGCCAAGCACCTCAGGAGCTGATGAGAGAAATGATGTGTGCATTTGCGTGGGGGTGATTTGTGTGTGGAGATGTAGCAGATTCTCCTCTTTCCATATGTTTCTGGAATACATATTTTCCTCTTTAGCACTGCCTACCAGGTGTTGGCTGCACGGCTTTCCAACTGTCTGGCGGCACTGCCAATCTGGCCAGCGCCTCTGCCAGGTGGCTAACAGGTTCGCCTGAGCATTTGCATCTCAAGACTCAACCTTGGCAGGGGGGGCGGGGGGATATGGAGGAGCCCACAGCATGCCTGGCTCATGGCATGCAGACATTGAAGTCACTGGGCACCGTGGCAGAGCTGGAGACAGGTAAGACCAACCAGCTCTCCCTGGGGGAGCCTTGAGTTTCTAAGCATGACTGATAGTGAGGAGATGTGAAGCTACAGTGATGCAGTCTACTGTTACAAGGAAACTGGCAAATGTTCTTCATGCCATCCATGCCACAAAGTCAATGAGGGTAAGGAAAGGGCACTGGTCCCAGGGCAAGTTCCAATATGTGAAGCTGAAGAACACGATCTATCAACCACACTGCATGAGGTAGACTCCCTTCCAACTCAAGTCAGCACATCTCAGTGAGGTCCTCCATAAATTAGGCTCTGCCACCCTCATGTAAATCTTCTTCCAAAGCATAGAAGAGAAAAAGACCAAAAGTCAAACAGCAAGAAGCTGGCATATTTCAGCATTCCTCAGGCTTAGCTCATCCTTCACTTGGAGGAGGCTGAAATCCAGCCTATGCAGACGCAGAGTGCAGAATAGCTGAAGTCTACAGGCAATCTGAGCAACATATGGGAGGAAGAAATGCATCTATAACAAAAGAAATGCATTCTGGGGAAAAAGCCTACAAATGTCCTACAGAGGACATTTAGATCAGGATGTGGAACAAAGCCTGAGCTAACATTCATGGTCACAGAGGATTCAAAGCCCAGTGTCTGATTCAAGGCCATCCCAAGAGGATAGTTAGTATAATTCAGTGCCAGCGGTCACGGTCCTATAAATAAATCATGAACCATACAGGAAAGCATCCGAAAGCTTTCACAAAAGAGAATGTTCATCTCTGCAACTCTTGATAGCTGTGCAATAACCAGTCATATCGTTAACATGGAGAAAGCCCCATCAGCTCCCTCTTCCCTGCTTTGGTATGATATCAACCATCTTACCAGGCACAGTCTCAGGGCTTGGTTCAGAGTTGCCAATCCAGGTGCTTGTAGGCTGAAAAGACCATTTATAACCCGTTGCTGAGTCATGTGTCCAACCGCAGAGGTTTTCAGGGAGATCAAAGTTGCAGTTGAAGTTCACAGGGAGGTGGAAATCTTATGAAAAGAAATAGAAGCAAAATAAAGTTGGATTAAAAAATGACCTACCCATGAAGGGTTGCTACCAAAAAACAACCCAAAACTGAAATAGCTGGCAAGCCATAAATACTGAAGAAAGCATGAAATTTCACTCACACTGATGCTTTTAACCTATCTCACATTTCGTCAGCTCCAGGGATCAGCCTTAAGTTCTGCATCATCAAAATGCTCACACCATGTCCTGCGGCTAATCCACCAAACTAAGCAAATATAAAAGCAAGTACCAAATGCTTCCAGACTCTAATCAGCACCTTCTCTTCATCCCCTAGAGCGGTCAAATATTAAATGCCTTCTTAAATGTCAAGTAAGAGCGCTTCCTGAGTGCCCTGTGCTCATCAGTTCCTGCTCTGGCTCCAAAAGGAGAATCTCAAGTGCTCCAGAAACCTGGCTCCTGAGTGACAGATCTAGCCACTTCTACCAGACGGGAGCTGTCTGTCAACATGGAGAGCTGTCACTCACTGCTTCCTACCTTCTCATGGAAATGCTACCAGGGGAAATGTGCGGCCACCATGAGCTCAAGCTTTTGGATTCTGAAGTGGAAGGAGCCATCCTCTATTTCTAGCTCTGCTATGGGCTCACCACATGGTCTTTGGGCGAGTCATTCAACTTTTCATCTGTGAAACAGAAGCAGAGCTAATTCCCCTGTGTCAACACCTTTAAGAGCTCTGGAGAGCCTTCCTGCAGAGAGAGGTCTGTGGGCAGCATGGCATATGCCAGGGGGTGCCTGTAGCGATGAGGCAGCTGCTGGTTCCTTCAGTCGGGGAACCAACCAGCCATAAGGCACAGAGGCTGCAGAAACAGTCTGAGACTGTCCCAAGCACTCAGTGGACACACATGTCAGAGCCCAAATGTAGGCTGAGATTTTCCTGAACAAAGAGGAAGTTTTAAATCACAGTGCCCACAAAGTGAGCAATAGCCAGGAGGCGACTGACTCAAGTGATAGGCATCAAGGGAACTTTGCTGTGAGGGGCAGAAGGCTTTCTTTACATGCTCCCATCTGAAATAAAACAATGCAGATCATGGATCCTTTTATGCCAATCTAATCTTATGCCCAGGAGAGCAGCATTGTTTCTCTTTGGCTGTCATAAATCTGATTGTCCAGAGAAACGCATTCATTGTTTATGGAGTATGAGAATGAAAATTGTTGCTAAATCAGAGGGAAGCTGACAGGGAGGCTGGTTCCATGCTCCACGGCATACTCTGCTTGCTCTAACCCAGGAATCGTGTTGTTGCAAAGACTGTTGTTACCGGCCTCAACTTCCTCTCGGCAGTTTCCCAAGTGCTTCAATGGCAGCAGGGTTGCACAGGCTTATCATTGAGGCAAAGCAATGAGAATCAGGCTCTTTGAGCTAGCTCTGCAATTTGCATTTCCAGAACTGAACTATGGCAGAATCCCGATGGGAGGTGTGAAAAAGCCAGTTAATGTAGGGTTTAATTTATTTATTTTAAAATCCATGAATTTTTTTTTTTCTGGGACTGGAAGCTGAAGTGACAGAAGTCCTTGGAGCTATCTCAAACAACAGCTTTATTTTGTGAGATTTCTTGTTGGAAATTCTTGTGTAAATGCCCAGCCCAGCATGGAGACCCAGGCTCTGCTGTCATTCCCAGGGGCAGGCATCTGCGTGTTACACTGTACAACCATCCTTGCACAGCTCTACCAAGCCTTCTGCCCTTAACCTGGACATTTTACAAGCTTCAGGTGCTCACATCCCCCTTGCAAGGAGCAGAAGAATATGACATCTGCTTTTGCAGGTAGAATTCCTGGAAAACCTTAGGAAATATGATTCTATGATCTGAAGCAGAGAAGATTAGGCCCCTCTAGCACTGGCTCTTAACAAGCATAGCATGTAGTCTAAACTAACATTCAGCTTCTTCTATAATCAGAAGAGGCAGGCAAGCACCACAGATACCAAACCATTCACTGTACATCTGACAGCCATCTAAGACTGGAAGGACGAACTCCTGCCTGGAGTTAGTGTTACCCTCTTTCTGCTGCCTGCACAAGAAGCCTAGACTCCCAAATTTGAAGCAGCTGATATTAGGGAAGATGATCCATACCAGATAGGTGTTCAGGACATCAGCCTCCTGTGCATGTTGTGATTTACTCCCACAGTTGTGATCTCTGCAAAAGGAGCCCTGCATACCATGCAGTCTGAATCTCTCCCCTGAATGGTGATTCTGAATTTATGACACTCAGCCAAGGGGATCTGGAATGGAGGTGGCTCTAAACAGGGCACTAAGTGAGCTTCTTCAGGTCATATAAGGAAGCTGGGAGAGCAGCTCTTCAAGTCTCAAACCCTAGGGACTGAATTAGCTGCTATCTCTTGCTCTTGCATCCTTCCTTGACATAAATTGTCAGATTTTTGGCAGGTTTTGTTCATGTGCTTTTTTTTTTTTTAAAAAATCTTGGCCTATCACTAATATTATTACCTTAAGCTTTCCAGGAATCAGCCCCATGTATAGGAGCTAATGGGAAGATAAGAGTATTTGCTTAGCTCTTAAGCCGTCATTTATGGAGATAAAGATGGGCTGCTCTGATACATACCCTCCTCTTCTCCACAGCTATCACCACACTCAGTTGCCTCTTCATCAGTTGGGTATGGGCTGGTGGTCTCTTCACTCTTCAAAGTGGGCACGAGCGTCTCTGCAGTGGGCTTTACATCTGGAAAACATGGAGTGGAGATGTTATATGCAAGAGGCAGTAACAAAAGCCCGGGCAGTAGCAAAGAAAGCAAAAAATCTTTTTCTCATATTCTTATAATGGCAGAAGAGGTAGAACAAGAACACTTTGAAATTGCCATGTTCTTCAAATGTCAACATGGTTTGAACTTCAAGTGAACTGGCTGCTTCCATATGGGAGTTCCTTTGATTTAGAGTTCCCGTTGGACAAGGCTCTCCTCTAGATACGCATGCTTACTTTTTCTCTTAATTTTTTAATCTACACTCCATTTAGCTGTCATTACTGGATAAGAGAGATCACAGGCAGAATGTCTTTTTCTTTCATAAGGGCATATGACACGTTAAAAAAACACACACAACATCCCCACCAATTGTGCCAATTTATAAAGCAAGTCACTCAAACTCACAAATGACGTAACCACAGACGGACCCAGAGGATCCCCTAGTGCGCTCTGGCTTGCTGCAAAAAGTATCTGGTTTCACACTTCAGGCTCCTGACTACACTTTCAAAGGGTCTCTGTCCAGTTTCCCTCTTTACAACACAGCCTGTGTGAAACACCCTCCAAGCAGGTGTCAGGGGAAATTTAAGCAAGAAAGGGAAGGATATTAAGATCAACAGCAAATGACATTAGGTTCCAGCAGTCTCTCCTTTTATGGGTGCATTAACTGGAGTACAGCAGCCTTGATTCTTTCCACTTTTTAAGAGAGGCTGCTTTGCCTCTTTATGTGAGATTGTGTTTCTTTGTCGGCACCCTTCAGGATATCATTTAATAATGCCAGAAGCAGGAGGAAATGGCTAAATACGCTGAATATTTTCCATAGGCTCCTTTCTGCCCTTTTATTTTCCTGTTATTAAACACGCCGCACATAAACTCTCAGTGTTTTTTTATTTATTTATTTTTTCAGTGGCTCTCTTTTGTTCAGGACAAAATACCAAACAACCTCAAAGTGTTTTAATTTTTAAGTTCAAATTTGTTACAACCCCATAAAACTCCAAACGCAATCGAGAAGTAAATTGAAAGCAACCAGGCACAAAAAAACATCATAAAAGTGAAAAGAAAAGCAGCAGGTGAAGGCAGCATATCAAAAGCTGCAAGTTATTTAGAGCTGGCACATTTTTTTAGGCTGTTGTTCTCGTAGATTGAGATTTATAGCTGAAATGTGACCATGTGGAAGGACCTTGAAAGCCAAGTCCCATACGGGACACAGATGCTGAGCGGATGGAAATCAACAGTATTGCATTGCCCTGGACAAGCTGCAGAAATATATCTTGAAAAATCAGTTACCATGGCAGAGCCGCAACACGATGGTTACAAGAGATAATGAAAATAGCAGGGAAGACGACATGATGTGTGAAATGGAAAGTGAAAAAGAGAGCTCTTGCTTGCTCGCTTTCTCTCTCCCTGGCCCAGCAAGTGTCTGTGCAACTGGTGGTAACTGCTGATCAAAATGCAAAGTCACTGAGCAATTGAAACCAGATGTTTAGAACTTCAAAGGAGAGAAAACCAGCTGCAAGCGAACATTCATCAATCTCCACTCTTCAGAGCAAAAATTTTGGCAGGTCTTTGAAAGAAGCCAATTGCTGACTGCCTGCTTCCCAATTTTTGAGTTACTAGCCAACTAGTTTGTGAGCCCAGTTGTTGTTAAGTTGCCTGTTTGACTCAGTAATTAAGATGCTCATTGCTGACATGAAATGAAAACAGCTGGGCAGGGTATGCATGGTCTTAGGCCCTCACTTGAAAATATTTTCAATCAGCTTGGTTTAATGCATCTCTTAATCTTTTTCCCAAGCAAGTGCAACTGCTAGGTTTTCACAGCCAGTTCTGTAACGCGCCTGGGCACTCCCAGCAAAGGAAGGCTGTATCTTGGCATTATCAAGGACTGCTGCACGTAGCCAGCCTGGATTTAGCATGCAGATAATGCCATGGGCTATCTCTGTGCTCCAGGTTGCATCAGGGACATAAATGCTTCTTACAACATGGTGAATCCACAAGATTACAAGCCCTGCTCTGATTACAAAGCTGAATGCCTGCAGATCAATAAAGCTACGTGTATTTACGACTTGGTGGTTGAGTTTTAAACATTACAATGTGCAAATGATTAGACAGCCACACTGGGAAATGACCATAAAGCACCCTGCCTGGAAAAAAACATGGGCTGTTGTTGCTGATACTGAAACTGAGTGTGGACATAGTCATAGAAGAAAATTTGGACTAAAAATAGCATGAGAAGTTGAGCATGCCAAACCCGTCTTACTCTCTAATTTGGAGGAGGGCAATGGAGGGGCTGATGTGTACGTGGTTAGAGGTCTTGTGTGACTGCCTCCCTTTGGGGCAGCGATGCTGTGCTGTGATGCACCAGTCAGCAATGGTCTGCGGAGGTCTGGCAGCTGGAGACTCCTGGGAGCTGTGGGAAGCAGCAACAGTGGGAGCTGCCCGACCACTTTTGCACGGAGCCTCAGCTCCTGCTGCTTGCATGAAAGCCACAGCACCTGTTTCTCCTACAATATCCCAAAGATGTTGTAAGATTTAAATTAAGATCTAATCGTGATTTAAAGTTTAGATAATTTACAATGGATTCCCAGTTCAGTGGGAGATTCGCCATTGAATTCAAATGATCACTATTAATTGTGTGTATGTGTTGTGTGATTTGCGGTTAAGTGTAACACATGTCACAGCACATCACAGGAGAAAAGCACAGTAAAGACTCCACAAAAGGGTGGAAATAAAAAGCTCTGTGCCCTTTAAGCTTCCTAGAATGGGAATTCTTACAATAAAATGCTTTCTACAGATGTGTTTATAAAATGGAAATCATACCTCTTTATCACTGACATCTGGACACCAGATTGGGATCTAAGCAGATTAATAAAAAATAAAGTACATTTTTAGAAAGGACAACTAGCCCCTGGCACTGAAAAGCTTGCATCGGACTCAATGAGCTGTTGGGTGCATTTTTGGCTTTTGGGGATGAAACTATGAAGCAATCAATCACCATTGAGCCTCAGAGGGTCAGAGGCACAGCCTCTACTGATTTCAGTGAGTATGTTAGTTTTCAACTCTATGCTAAAAACAGTGGTGACTACAAGGCATACCACTTGCAAAAAACAGGTGGGCAAAAGTGAACAAACTTCCCTGGTCTTAGGGATATTGTAGAGATGTCACAGAGTTAAATCCCCAACTGCATCTGCAAAATGATTTCCACGCAGGGTTCGAGGAGAGAAGGGCGCTTTACAACAAAGCCTTACTGTGGCAGCTCAAGATACCTGTACCAGTCACTGCACCCCTGCTTCTCCTCCTGCTCTTTACCTTGTCCATTTGAATTAAAAAGCCCAAACATTATCTAACAGAGCCTGCAAAAGTCTGTAAAACAACCTGCTGAAAGATCTGAAAGGAAGGAGAAGGGAGTTGGGGACAAATCCTGCATGTGACCTGTGTGGAAGCTTGGATTGGGGACCAAACATTGCCGCTACATCCCACATCAAGGCCAGTTCTTCCTGAGGTGGAAGTAAAAAGATGAGGTCAGGCCACACTGCAGGTCCTGCCCTCATGGCTGCAGTCCACCTGCCATGGCACGGCCCTGAGGTGGGACAATGGGGAGAGAAATAACCTTACACTTGCACATTGTTCATTTAGTGCCTGCTGCAGCCCCAATGGAGCCAGTGGCCAGAGGCGCAGGGGCTCCTACCTGTCCAGTCACAGCCCAGCACCTCCAGGCGCATTCCTATTCCCGCTGGGGACCACCTCTCTGGGTGCACTCGGACGTATTGGGCAGGAACAGGTTCAAACCTCCGGACTTCAGGGATATCGTAGTGAATGTTGCCTTCAAAAAGCTACAGAGAGAGAGAGAGAGAGAGAGAGAGAGAGAGTGTGAGAGAGAGAAGGCAAGTGATGTGCATATCCCACATGGTCTCCACCAGACTTGATAATTTTGAGTCTGTCAGGACGCAGCCACAGTTTGAAATAGTTTAGCTGTCCGACTCTGCACCATCGAGTCCAGCTGAGAAGAAATTGGGCTGTTTCTCTCAGTTTCAAGAGGACCAGACAGGCTGTTTCCAAGAAACTTGCACAATCTCTCTTGGCCTCTGCATTATATCCAGGGGTCAGATTCTGGTTCCAGCCACCCAGGGGAAGCCTGGGGAATATCCACTGACTTCACATATAAATAAGATCAGATTTGTCCCTTGGCAAATAACAAAGCTACTGCATGTTCTAGGACAGTGTAAATGCTCAGTTTTCCTCACAGTCTAAGTGCTGCTGCTTTTCAGGTTACATGCATGAACTCAAGTCTATGGGGAATAAACAGAGAGCTGTAGATGGCATCAGCCCTTCTGAGACTCATTTGTAGGATCTGGAAAACTTAAAACTTATCCAAATTTTCAGAAGCAGGCAAGCTTGCATAAAACCAGAACAGGCAGTAGCAGAGAATTCATTTATTCCTCAAACCCCATACCATTAAGCAGAAAGATTATGGGGAACTCCAACAGTATGGGAAAAGACGGAGAATTTCAGGGTCACACCATTGTGGCAAAAGGGACTTCAGATACAGCAGATTTCCCAGAGAGAAGTTGTAACTCATGTTCCTCTTCCAGGAAGAAGAAGAGTTCCTGTGCAAGCCACAACAGCCACATCTTTCCCCTTAAAGTAAGTAATTAGTTTGTGTCAAATATAATTGGACACACCATCTTGTGGGCTCTGACCTGCAGGAGTTGGGAAGACCAGAGGTTACGGCCACATCCCCAGGCCTGGTCCACAATAAGAAAGGAAGGGAAATTGCCATCTCTGGGGCAAGGTGGAACGCTACAGCCTCTAGTACAGCTTAGGAGCAGGTCCTGGGACACAACTTGGGATTTCACAGAATCATAGAATGGCCTGGGCTGGAAGAGACCTTAGAGAACATTTAATCCAACCTCCCTGTCATAGGCAGGGACGCCTCTCAACTAGATCAGACAACACATGGGGACTGAACGGGGACATGGTGACACCCAAACTCTCAGAGTCTCTGTAATGAGAGACAGCTAATTTCCCAAGACCCCATCAGGCCAACTGAAGACAGCCAGGAATATGTCTCATTTTGCAGCTGCTCCAGGCTTTGCCTACCTTGGCTTGCATTGTTTTGGGGTCCTGGATGAAATCCCAGTCCTTTCCATTCATGCTGTAGGCCACCTTAAACTTCTTCACGAAGGAGCGGGACTCGGTGGTGGTCACGCTGTCACCTCCGCGAGCCCCCTGGATAATGACGCCTCTGATATTCTTCGGGATGCCAAGGTCCACCTGCAGCCACTCCTCCCCAGGCTGTGCCTGGGGACACTCTCCAGCCGCCCCGCCCCAGGCTGGTCCTGGGGGACACGGGGAAACCAGCCTGAGCGGCTGCTCACCAGGCGGGCCATACTGGGAGACCAGTCGTAGCCTCTGATGGAAGAGGCTGAGATCTGCGAGTCAGGGATGAGGCCAGAAAGCATTCCCAGCAAGCTGGAACAGGGTGAATCTGCAGGAAAGGAAAAGGCATGAATAGCCAGGGTGGCCGAAGGGAGCGCTTGTGGTTTCCCCTTCAGATTTAAACTCTGGGCACTAAACCAGCACCAGCACTGGGCAGTTCCTCCTCGCCTTCAGGGGTTTGGTTGCCTGTCCCTCCAAGTGAATCCCTTGGGATGGGTGCCTCCATGCTGCTCACGGTGTCACCATTCCCACCCCAAGCAGACATGACAGCTGCAGGAGACAGCACCCTGGGACAGGCTGTTGGATGGACAGAGGGGAGGGTTGAGGCCAGGCCCCCCCCCCGGTGGCCCGCCAGCCATACAGCTCCAGCCTCAGGGCGATGCCATTGTGCCAGCTCTGGGGACGGATGCGCACAAAACGTGTGAGCACTGGGCTGTGGATCTTGTTGAGAACCACCTCTGTGGCGTCCTCGTTGGCCTGAAATGTCTGCAAGGGAGAGGGAGCACAAATACGGTTACACCCTCTCCAGGATGTAACTTTCTTCTCCAGAAAGAAATAACCAGATCAGCAGTTGAAATGATCTCAGCAGGGAAAAATGAGGAGAGGCTTTCTGGGCTGGGCAAACACCCAGAGGCAGGCAAGTGGAGCTGAGCTGCTTGTACAATGACATGGTGGATAGGCTTGCCCATTGGGCGGGCAACCCAGAAGCTTGCCGCCCCACAGCCTCTCACAGTATTCTGAGGCACCTCAGATTCTCAGGCCACAGCTGCTTTGACCTTGTCCCCAAACCCAGAGCTGCTGCAAGGTGAAGGGCAAGACATTCCCGAACGCTGCGTGAGATCTTGCCTCCCCTCTGCAGGTAGATGGGCTGACATCCTGACACATCCTCACACTGAGCTCCACCGAGAAGCATCGTGTGCAAGCAGCATCGTGCAAGCAGGGAGGATGCCACCGCTGCCTGAGGCAACAAGCTGAAGTCCTAGCCAGCCTCTCATCCCTGCTTCTCCTGCGTACATGCAGCCCACCACACAGAGACAGCTTTTTGGGAGAGTTTATGATCTGATGTGATATGAAAAAGCTGCTGTCTTACCAGATGGCCATGATAATCAATAACTACCACATGGACATTAGATCCAACCCTGCTGCCCATTATTTTAACAGGCCGGACAAGGACTGGATACTTAGGTTTCTGTTTCAGGCTGCGGAGGCATAGTGGGTATGGGGTAAAGAGGGAATACTCAACCTGAGGGTAATTTCCAACCCTTTCTCTGCCCTCAGTATAAAGCACTAAAGCTCACAGGCCAAGGCTGCAGGTATTGCCCGCTTTCCCTTCAAGCACACCGGCTCTCGGGATAGGGCTAGAGCATCCTCCAATTCCAGCCAGAAGTCACATCGGCACCAAGATGTTGGCTGGGCTCTTCTGCAGGCTCCTACCCTGCATATGCTGTGCTAAGCACCGGAGCTCCTGCTAAGTTTATCTCAGAGCAAAGCAGAAGAGTGTAATCTCTGGCACCGATCTCCTTCTGTCAGAGACAAGAGTCAAACAATTCAACTGCACATCCCTGTGGTCTGGGACAGAAAAAGGGGTGAGGAGATAACTGCTATTCAAGGCAAGAATCCAGGTTAAGAAGCATTTTATAAACCTCCCACTGCTCTAGGCCTGCAGATAGCACATGTAACTGCTCTCCTCCCCGGATCCAGCTCGCCAGGGTGTGTGCGGGGTGTTTGCAGAGGGGGCCAGAGGCTGTTCGCAGCAGCAGAACCAGCTCTGGGTTGCCCTTGCACATCACTGTCCGGCCCGGGATAGCCAGCCCTACTGCCAGAGCAGGGAACAGCCACCCCACAGAGGGCCTTGGCTGTAAATCTGGCTGGTAACTGGGATTTTGGGTTGATGTGAATTTGAGCAGAAATGCTAATCTGGAGAATATATAACATGCTGCTACCGTTTAGCAGCACAGCATGGTTTATGTGTTTTTAATATCCTATTTTATCCTGCCTGACCCCACTTCTCATCCTTTTTCTTGCTCAGCAGACACCAAATAACCTCTTTTCCAGTAGGAGGGCTATAAGAAGAGTGGTTACTGTGAAACACTCTCCAGGCATGCATGTGTGTGTGTTATAAACCTGTGGGAACACACACACATAGGCTGAAAGGATACATTTCCACATGACAGCAAAGCCTTCAGCTTTACATCAACACAGAAGGTGGCACACGACACCTTACCTCTGAACCTAACACCGGAGGACAGGAAATGTTTATCTGAGCTGGTGCAACTATTTTAGCATGAGAAGCAGCATGTCAGGACATCCCAAAGGTCCCTCTGTTCCAGAGGACAGCTCCTGATGGTCGCCCCAGCAGATAACCAGAGCAGCAAGCCTGGGTAATTTTTCTCCTGGCAACCCCTTCTTGCTTCCCACAATCAGCAGTTTGAAGACTCCATGAGCCAAAGGTTGCATATGGACCGGCATGTTTAACAGTCACTGACGAGGTTTGCTGCTCTTTTTGGTTTAACATATTTCCAGTTTTGTTCTTTTTTAGCTCACTTCGCACATACGAGCACCAGGGGCCAGAATCCAAATTTACACCAGCGTAATTTGTTGCTGACTTCTGCAAAGTCAAACTTGACAGAAAGCAGAAGCAGGACTGAGCCCAAAAACTTTATCACTACCACATGCATTGCTGAAAGCATCTCTTACACCACCTTAGTCCAAACCACCTGCTTCCAAGGAGAGTAACCTCAATTCTGCTTTAGATTTGAGGCCCAGTAATTTCCTCAGGCTAGATCACATTCGATAAGCTACGCAACTCTGAATGGGGCCTCGACACTTTGGACTGCCAGCTTCTGAGGGCAGAAACGGCACCAAACCTCCAGCCCTAGTATGAGCTGTGCTGGCAGGACATGCCCTGGTGAACCCTGTTTCCGAAAAGGCTCAACTGATCACAAGAAGTCATTGCTTCGCACTCCGTTCCGCATAACATAAAGGGGCCATTTTCAGAGGGTGGGTGCTTAGCACTGTTAGAAAAGCAGGGTCCTTCCATGCGCCTGGCCCTTCAGCCTCCTTCCCAAGTGGAAATGTGGGGCAAGCCCGCAGGTCCTGATGCTACTGACCAGAGTCTGACCCTGAGCGTATGGTTTCTCTACACTGAAAATGCCCTCAGAGCCCAAGCACACTATGGAGAGAGTCCCATTGACTTGAACAGGCTCTATATCCTGCTTCAAATTAGCACTCACGGCATGGGAAAAACTAGCAGGAAAATGTGTGAAATTCGGAGCGCCAAGAAAGCAAAGATTTCTTCCCCCTCACCAAAATAGAACATTGCTATTCCTCCCATCCTATCTGCTTCCCATCCCACTCAGCACATATTTTGAGCCAAGTCTTTGAATGGTGTAAATCAACATATCTCCATCGAAGTATAAGAAGTCACAGTAATTTACACCAGCAAAAAAAAAAAAAAATCTGGCTGTGATCTAGGGAGATAGATAGATACGCCCTCAGCAGAGAGCATACATGCGCCTGCGCATGCACATGCACTAAAGGGCGATGGAGCCAGAAGACGAATGGGAAAACCGTTCAGAAATTAAAAGCACCTTCCAAGAACCAATCAAGGGAACTCATTTTCACCACTGCATCACAAAGCTGCCCATCTCCTCCCCATATACTTTATGTTTACTTCCATTTCAGTCCAGTCAGCAGTTCTACACATAAAATTAAATTGATAATCAATGAGAGCTGACCTGCCTAATTAATTTACTGCAGATAGCAAATGGTGGAAGATTAATAAGTCTAGGCTAAAGGAGGATTGGGCAAGTTTTCCACGCGTGCACACAAGCAAGCTCCACACCAACACCTACAAGTTGTATTTCCGACGCATTGGAACCACAGCGGGCTGATGGGGGGATTTCTGAAGCTGCATTAGTTCCAGTGGGTATGGGAATTGTGCCAATGACAGTGTCGAGTGAAGGGAGGGAAGGGCAGGGAGACAAAAAGTTCCATGAAGTCAAAGAGGCAGCAAGTCCAGGAGGAGGCAGGAGGCAACCTTTCTCCTGCTTTATTTATTGTGCTGCTTGGCCACTATACAATTTCTTGGGGAGCTAAAGAAAGCAGCTGGGGGAGGCAGAGGAGAAGGCCAAGGATGGCAGCAGCTCTGCCTTCCTCTGTATGTATGTGTCTCTCTGGACCCACTAAATTTACTGCAGGATTATGTTACTCTCGTGGAGACAGAGCCCTGGAACAGAGCATGCTAACAGGATTAGGGCTTCAGGATTTAGACAGAGAAGCATGAAGGAGAAAAGTAGGAGAGATTATTTCCCTTGTCAGATAGGGAAGGCATAAAATGGGGCATGTTTGATGGTAGGAGGATTTTGGCTTGAGTGGAGGGTGGATAGCTCTGGATTTATTAAATCCAGGAACAAGGAGGTAAAAGAAAAATGATACTTGGCAACACTCAATGAAGCACGGCCGTCTGGGCAAGGCACAGCGTGCTAGGCTGGACTTGCCAGCACTGTGTCTTTGAGAGGCTCTACTCAGATCTGCGAGTCACCAGAGACAGGAGGAGTGGCACTCTGTTAGCCTGCAAAGGAGATATCAGGCCCAGAAGTACAAAGCTGCAGTCTTGCTAGGAAAGTTAGGGCTGTAATTCTCCCCTGGTACTGCACCAAAAGTGAATGTGCAGAGCTGACCTTCCCAAAGCCTGACATCTTTGTGCTGCCTGCAAAAGCAGCAGAAGGAGGCCGAGACCTGGGGATGCTTCTGGGCAAACCCTCTACATCACAATGTTTACACACAGAAGCACTTGTGGCCTTCTGGCTGATCGTGCAAGCTTTTCCCATGTTCTCCAGATAAAGAAGCCACAGGACTGAAAGCTTTTCTCTCCCTCCCCAGATGAATGAACACAGGAGACCTCATAAACAACTGAAAGGACAGAAGAACGTTCCTAAGGCAAGGCACAAGGGTCTCCAAGGAGTCCTCCTCAATATTCTCTGATGGCACCAAACATCTCTGATGCCCTCAGCAACATGCACAGCTGAGATATGTGGCTCTTTGCAGCAATTCAACCCACCTTCTTGCATCCACCTGAAATACTACTTAGGAAGGCAAGCTGATAACAAGCACAAAGCCGTCAAAATGAGCAGGAAATGGGAAATGCACATCAGCTGGATCTTGCTGCCATTTCTCATCCATTGACTTCTACAGATTCTTAAACCAAATGCTTCAGTTGCATTGTCCCATTTCACACACAGAGCATTAGAGGCAGTGCAAGCACCCATCACAATCCCAATCAACCCCAAATGCTGAAATCTGTCCTGTCTGCCTGCCCCTCCGCACACTAGATGATCACCACGAGTTGATCTCTGCAGTTACTAAGAGAGAGCAGCTCAGACCAGAGAAGCTGGAACCTGAGACTCTACAGAGAAGGAAGTGAATCAGAATGGATGAGCATTTTGTTTTCCGATAAAATCCTCATAATTGAATCTGTTTGAAAAAAATAGGCAAAAATAAAAGGTCAAATCCTGCCAGGTGCTCTCTTCCTTCCTTGGGTTCAGGAGCGAGCTGTTGTTTTCTAAAGACATTTGCAAACAGCCAGATAAGATCTCGGCACGAACCCAGGGTCGGTGCCTGGAAGATAACCTCCAGGGACACTGACCCTGTGTGACATAGAGGGGGAGGCAACACAGAGGGGAAACGCCAGAGCAGCATTTCTGGTGCAGGGTTTGTCCCATGGGGATGTGCTGGTGGGTAGTAAGGGGCGAGTATGGGGCAGCACGTGGTGGTGGCTGCTCTCCTCCCTGTCTCCTCTCTTGAGGGACACACAGGAAGACAGCTCTGTACCTTGGGCCAGGTGGTAGGGTTTAGCCATTCCTCCTGGCGCCACACCCCAGGCAAGGACAGAGCATGTCCCAGCCTGGACGGAGGGACATCTGGGGTGTGCTGGGATGGGCTTTGTGGGGCATGGGCTGCCATGCCTGGAGAAAACCCAGCATGGATGGGGGGGAAAAGGGGGAAGATGTGAGTGTAGGTCTCCACTCTTGCTGCCCACAGACCTGCCACTGCCTTCCCACTCCAGAAACGCAGCCGTGCTTGGCACAGAAACAGCTCAGCCAGCCCTGTCTGCCGCGAGCACGTATTAATCTTGTTTTCCTTTGCTTCACCCTGCCTTTCCCACTTCCCTCACCATGAGTGTCAGCAGCTGGGGACTCAAAAGGTGAACTATCATATTTCACAGGGAAACATCCTGGCCCCACTGTCCTCCAAAACATGGGAGGGAGGGCAGGTGGTGAGCAAAAGAGAGGAGGTCATAGCTTCCCCTACTCCGCAGAGAGCATCATCCCCTCCTCGCTCCTCCTGCACTCACTGGTTTTCTCTTGCTATAGCTCCCCAATGAAGAGGCAAAATGTTAGCTGACCCACCTAAAAGCTTTGCTTTTGGCCTACACAGCCGACAGAAATTCAGAGCAGTGTTTGATACATCCCATATGCTTATGTGTGCATGTACATATATATATATATGAGTGTATATATATATGTGTATGTGTGTGTATATATATATATATGCATGTATATAGAGGAATCGAGAGTCCCTGTCTGTCCACCCCCTCCCCTTCCTCCGCACTCTTCATGGCACTGAATCAAGCTGCGGCAGACTTGACAAATCTATTTGGCATGGTTCGCTCCACCGTTGCAGCCCGAACTGTGAGGAGCGCCGTGCTGACGCAGAGAGGAATCTGCACCTTGAATACAGACATCTGGGAGCCTGCCTAACGCAGGAACGGCGAGGATTAACACAGGAGGGGAATGTGGCGCCAGAGCCCCCCCTGGCACCAGCCTAAGAGTGAGGGGCTTTGTCCTGGCCCTGCTGCGGAACAGCAGCTGGCGGCCAGTCATTGGACAGGGAGGGAAAGGAGGCACCCGGATGCAAAGGGTAGGTGAGCCACCAAAAAGCAATTACTTATCCCCCAGCCTCGGGAGGTGGCTGCTAAATTGAGGCCAGAACATGGGAACAAAGTGAGACTGGAATGAAGGAGTAAAAAAAGGGAGGTTAGCTTTTTCTTCATTTTGTATGAAGTGAGAAAATAGAGTAGAAAAAAGCTGATAGGACTCAAGGGCCAAATCCTGAAATGGTGGCAATTCTTGTGGCTATGAGACTGCTTTTGGGTGACACCAGCCAGGCTTTATGGTCTTGTTGGAGCGATGTATGTGGGCCCAGCAGCACTTGAACTAGCCATGCTGTCCTGCTCCACCATTGCTGAGGATCCTGTGCCCAATGTCCAGGACATCTACTCTCCGCTGTGACTAAAACCGCCCTCCAGGCCAGACTCTCGCGCCAGTTAGGCTCCAAAAGATAAATTTATTGCCAGTGGTCATCTGAAACACTGAACTGTGTATTTAGCCCACCTCTCTGCCTGGTGTGTTGCCAATCTCCCACCTCAGCTTACAGAAATGGTCCCAGAGAGACATCAAACTTACTCATTTCCACAGGGTACCAAGGGTAAGGAGAGATGGTCCCGGTTAATAGAAAGGTCTGCTGTGGCCACTGCATCCTGGGAGAGCACAGAGCCTCCACACCAGCACGTGGCCACCACGTTGGGGCTATATGTGAGTTCTGCCACAAGCTGTGCCCCCAGAGCCAGCCTGCCCAGGGTCTGGGGGAGCCTGGCTGCTGATTCTCCCAAAGTGTGCTGGGCTGCCCCATGCCTCCATTTCCCTGCATCTAAAATAGGACTAACACCACCTCTGTAGTACGTGAGGAGGTTAACTACTCCAAATATTGGAGGTATGAGACCCTGCTAGGGGCCTCTGCACAGACAGGACAGGTTCTGGGAAGCAGAGTGAACTTGAACCATGAGACACACTTGTGGGGAAGGGGAAATCATGCAGCCCAGAAGGGAAGGAAATGTCTGGATGAATCCTGGACAAGGCAGGCTACTGCATTTCATACCAGCAGCGCCTGTGCCAGCAAAAGGACGGGACAGCTGATTTAGCAGAAGCGCTGAACAAGCAGAAATTGCTAGGACATGCCTGCTGGGGGAGGTGCCACCAAGTTCATGCAGATAGATTAGGGCACATCAACGAAGAGGACCTGAGCTGCAGCAGTAGTGCTGGTGGGCACCACAGAAAAGCAAGGAAGGGCTTTCCCCAGGTGCCCTTAACCAAGGGACAACCACATGATCAAGGCAAATGACAGAACAGGACCAGCCCAGCACCATGGCTGCTTAACCCCTCCTCCCTGTATGACAAAGAACCCACGTGGACCACCTCGAGCTGACCTTGCCCGGCCATGTGGCAGCACCCACAAAGCTTGGAAGGGCTGCATATCCACATTTGCTCTCCCTCCTCCTCGCTCCCACACGGCGAGAGCATGCAGCAGCTCCCAGGTCTCAGTGCACCCCTGCTGTCCGTGCCTGCTAGCACAGATCCCACAGCTCTGGCAGTCTGTATTGCCCCTCATTATTTATTGTTCATTTTGTTCTCTGGGATGGTGCGAGATCCTCTCTTAGGGTTTGTGCTCTTTCATTTCCAGGCCTCGGTAACTCCTGAACTACAGTTTCACGTGGTTTTGCAATTGTTAACCCAGCATGCTGATGGTGCTACGGCCATAAAACCTCAATGAATCTTGTACAGCAAAACACAGGCTGTGAAAGCATTTTCTCCTTCATTTGCAGTCAAAGAACATACTCTCGTCACCACGAAAGATGCGACAGCAGCCAGGTTTTCCAAGGAATAGTGTTTCCTCATGGCCGTGTAGAGGAGAATTTTTGCTGAGAGCATCATCAGTCTTTTAACTTTCATCAGAAAAAGGGTCTCTCTCAGATTAAACCCTCTGGGCCTGTAAAGTCTCTCCAATCTCTTCCCTCTTGACAGCTGCAAGACTCACCAAGGTGCATGCAAAAGACATAAAAAGACCTTTACCTTGTGGTTTTTCCCATGTCTATACATCATCCAGTCCTCCCCATTGGTGCTGACCTCCAGCTTGTAGGTACGGACATAGTAGCCATTCTGGGTTTCTCTGGAGATGGCACCTTGTGTGGCAATGGCTGTGAGCACAGTGAGGAAGTGCAGGTCCACCTTTCCAGGGGAAAAAGGGACAAGAGGAAGAGTGGTGACCACCTGAGAGCTTAGACCAGCTAGTTAGTTCCTCCCTCTGCCTCTAAAAAACGAGAAGGTGTGAATTCAGTCTGTCTCACTCCATCTGTGGGCACACACGTCAACAGACACAAACGACTCAGGCTGACTTCAGCGGGATGCTTGCAGATAGGACTGTGGAACAAGAGTAACTAAGGATCTTGATGTCTGTCCGTATGGGACCATCACAAAGCCTTCTTCCTGCCTCAAAAAGGATCTGCACAGAAGCACGTGTCCATTAAATCAAGACATGTAAAATAAAAGCATAATGCTCAATTAGCAAGTACTGCAGCTCTTGGTTTTCCCTTGTCTATTTTTTTTTCCGTTTTGTTTTGTTTTTTTACAATGTGGGTTGAGAAAGGTCAGCAGAGCTGGCTTTGTAGCACTGCCATGAATGAAGAATGGGATGTCTGCTAGAGGCAATGACATTCACCACCTCCCGTTTCTAGTGCCCTTTAGCAAGCAGTGTCTCACAGCAATGTGACACGGCCAGAAACCCTGTGCGGAGAGACTGTGGCTCTAACTAGCTCTCAGGGAAAGCCTCTGCTCTGTCAGGCCCCTACCTGACACCAGCCTGCTCATGCTTCTTGCATCACTGATGAGATAAATATTATTCTAGCTGCTTTGCCATGTGCCCCCTGGAGACTTTAGTCCTCATGCCAGTGACATAGTCAGTGGCCCTTGTAAGTGGCAGAGGTCCCTCAGTCTCTGTCAATATGCTGGGAAGTCCATGGAGGTTTTGGGCAGAAAGGAGGGGGTGGGAGAGGGACAGGGCATGAGTCAGCCCTCGTGCAGGCACGCTAATTGGAGAGCCAGCCTGTTGCATTTCACAGTGGCACTGCAGCTCCCCTGCTGCTCGCTCCCTGTTAGCCACAGAGGCAATAAAAAATTCAACAAGCCTTATGGTCGAGGGTCAGTTTAACAGCGTGACATTCCATTTGGTGGGGGAGGAGGTGAGGGTGCTGGAAAGTGTGCACACCTGGAGATACTCTTTGTTGCTGTCTACATTGGGAGTCCAACCGTTGTCATCACTGTTGAGTCGACTCTGTTGAGGGGTCCATCGTCCATCTGAGTAGGTGGAGGAGGCAGTGATCTGCATGTTGGAGATCCTGCCAGACTCCATCCCCAATGGCACGTTGCACTGGAAGTCTGGAATGGACACACACGCACACAGATCAGCTTACAGTCTTTACTCCCAAGTGGAAGGCAGCCCTGAACTATCCTTCCCAGCTAACCCCAAGCAAAGCTGCCTGCCTGAAAAGATTAACAGATCTACACCACCTTGCAGGTTGTGTGTGCTCACATAATTGCATTGCCCTCTAAAATCTAATACAGTCCAGATCTTTCTCCCTTTTTCTATTCCCTTCATCTTTGCAGTTTTGACAGAATTCTGTCTCTTCCTTCCCTCCATCTCCACCAAGATGTCCTAAGTCCCCTTGCCACAAAGCTCCTCATCTTCTTGAAGGTTTGAGATGAAATCTAAGCACTGACAAGGCAAGAAGTATGGGCAGACAGAACAGGAGGGTGTTTACTGCTCTGTTGCTGGCAGGAACGTCAAGGCCTGGAACGGGTAAGTTTAGAGTTTTTGCGTGCGTATGAGAGCATGCATGCGTGTGTGTATGTGTCCGTGCACTATATGTGATATTGGCCCCAGAGGAATTAACCAGCCAAGAATATGAAAGGCTCTGGTATGCTTTCATTTGGGTTTCCTCACTTCTAAGGCTTTAAAAGTCACAATTAGCTCAATCTTACTGCACATCTCATTTTATGGCAGCTGTCCTGTAAAAACAATAGCACAGAAAACACTGATAGGAAATGCCACATGGGCTCAAGCGTGCCACTGTTGTAAACCAATGAGACTTCACCAAACTGCCTGCGCTTTTAATGTGGCCAAATCAACCCTGGCTGGAAATGATGGGCCAAGTTAAGATCTCAACAGTATTATTGAAGTTTCAATTTACACTAGCATAAATAAAAACAGGCTTGGCCCTTTAACAGCTCTTATGCTTGATTTCTCAAGCTTTATGTGTCATTAACATTTTATTTCCCAATCTTTTTAAGGTACAGAAGAGAAAGAGGATTAAAGAACAGATCAACTGAGTGTAGAGATAGGTAACGGTGAAGAGCTCACGCTTGTCTGTAACTCTGACAGCCTCAGCAGAACATCCCTAACTCAGTCACAGAGCAAGAGCCCGTAACACAGCTGCTCTAGTGGTGCACAACCCCTCCTCTACACTGCTCTCCATCAAGGGCTTTCAGCGTTGGGTCAGGGACCTCCTCTTTCTCTGGAACTGAGGGATGTCCTGAAGGCTTCTTCTGTTGTATCAAAGGTTCACTGCAAACAAAGGTCAAGAACTGTAGCTCTGATGTAGATACCATGGGAAAACAAACTAAATCTTTTCTCGCCTGTAAGCATTATCACGAAGAATCAAAATGCTCTTCATACTCAGAACACACAACTTACTTCTTCCCTCCACATCAATGAATCTCCCTTTAATAAGGGATTTAAAACAAACTTTAGTTTGAAATTTCTAGAGCTTTAGGCACTTTTGATTAGACAGCCAAGAAATTGCAATTTGTAGTTTTGGGCTGTGAATTTTTGGAAAACCAAAGAGAAGAGAGAATACCCTCCCCCATGCTTTAATGAATCTGCTACATCCACTGGGCTGAAGCTTTTCCCTAAATCCTTTGGGCTCAGCACATATGTGAAGAATTCTGCCCCAAAAGGTACTGAGAAGACTTCCTGAGCAAATGAAAAGTGAAAGAAAGGTCAGAAAGTCTGATTCTTGCTGAAATCTCACTTCCATGAGAAACACAGACCACACCTAGTGCAATTGCTATCTGCCCTGCTGGTGGGGGACCAGTCCCTGGACACATCTAGCATGCCTTAATCTCGCACGTGCTAAGGGAAAGACTTGGAAAAACAGGTGACACAACTGCCTAAGTGTCTGCACATGTTTCAAACTTACTTTCTGGGACTTCCTGCTGGAGCAAGTAGTACTGAGCAGAGAAACCGTCTTTAGCCACTGCCAGGTCCGTGTGGAAGGTGAGCGAGAGGACGCCGGTGGTTGAACGGATGTCCGACGGCATCTTAGTGCCACAGTACCTGCCTATCAAGGGGCCGACTGCAAAAGAAAGAGCAGCAAAGGTAGCACCTGCTTTTCCACTGGCCTCCTGGGTTACCAGCAGATTGGCATCACTTAGCAGGGATGCCTCAGCAGAACTGATTGGGATAAAAGAAAGGCTTTGGGGATGGGCTAAATTTTACATCCACTGGCCTGGTGCCATGCAGTACGCTGCGCAGAAATATCCATTGCAGCAGGCGTTGCTCTGCGATTGCTGGGAAATGCTCCAAACTGCTCTGTTCCTCAGCGTTGGTATAGGGAAGGGAGGTCCTCCCAGCACTGCATGAAGCCACTGCATGAACTTACCGTCCCCTGAGGGAGGACCAGCAGTATCTTGGAATCTCCCATGGGGCTCTTCAGATCAGCAGTCACAACAGAGCAACAGTTTGGGGTTTAATGCATGCAGCCCTCTGCAAGTGCACTGTCCCCACAGCCTGCCACGGCACACCCTGACAGCAGGCTGCAGCCACGTCTGAGGTCAGGCAACTTTGGCGTTCAGACATAGACCACACAGTTTTGGAGCTTTGTGAGACACCAAGAGAGGCTGAGGGCAGCAGCGCAGCACCCCATGGCTTACCCTGAGGGATACCGTCCCAGATGTCCAGCCAGTCGTACTTGCAGTCTCCTTCTCCGGCCTGCAGCGGGTCATGCTCAAGGTCAAAGAGGAGAAAGTGGAGGAGGATTTCTGTCTTTGGCTTGGCTATGATGGTGAAGACACAGTCCAGGTTGTGTGGATACTTGTCAGGGAAACCTGGAGACTCAATAGTGCCGTTGGAGGCAGTGAAGTTTCTGGAGCAGTCCTCAGAGCCTGTAGTGGCAGGAAAAAATCCACAACCTTAGTGACAACGCACCTTAATGCCAACAGCTTGACACTGTGGAAACCCATTTGGAGCTTAGAGGGGTTGTGTATTCACTTCTGGAAACATCCTATAACTTAAGAGATGTGTGAATCGCTGTAAGGACCAAGAGGGTAATTTTCAAAAGCTTTTCACTGGTGGAGAGACAAGGTCCATGCATTCACTGGAGTAAACGAATCCCTCAGACAGCTCTGCAAACGTAACCTGTATGTCACTGCTGATCCCCCTGCCAGTTACGTCAAAACCAGGAGAGTGATCCCATCCAAAGCCACTGCTGCAATTGGTCAGGCCAGCACATTGCCACGTCCCCCATGCTGGTGGTGACAGCCCTGGTAGGGAAGGGAGGCCACACCAAGCTGGGCTGGGCTTTATCTGCAAGCCCTGACCACTGTAAGTTGGGTTCCCAAAGAGTGACGGCATCTGGTGCCCCAAGGCCTGTGGAGGAGCCAGCCAACACGCAGGGGGCTGCCATAGGTGGTCCTCACTGCCACAGCTGCCACCCCCCACCC